CTCCACCTAATCGAAAGCCGGAAATCGTGAATGCGGAGAAATTGGCCACGTTGAAGTCGCCAATTTCTATTCGCGCTATGGTTCCTGATAACCATTGATACTTTAACGACGATTAAATCGTATTGTCCTATACGCTCTTTGTTTTGCTGTCCTTTTATGATGATGTACATTTTTCAACGGCTAACAACACTTCGGCGAATCAGCCGTTGTGCTTATGGGCTTCCGAATTTAGACGAGCTGATGAGCTCGGAATACGAAAAGTCCTTGCGCGAATATAACTTGCCTTGCAACTGAGGTTTGCATTTTGAGTTTCTGATGGGAAATAAGATGTTCCGATGGTGATAGGTTTTTTTTGTTATGTTCGACGTCACCACTGCTATCTGGATTTTTTTCGTCTTAGGCTGCGGTCCTTTGAACACCATTATCAGCAAGATCGTGTTTGAGATCCGGTCGATCGGTGTAGAAGGCTTCCCCAAGCCTTTCCACAAGCCATGGTTCATCACGACGGTTATGTTCCTCGGTATGGCTCCTGGTATGGTCGTTTATATCGCGAAGATGATTCGAAATAAGACCAGACGGCATCATCAGAATCGTCAGCCGTTGCTTCAAGTGAAGGCCGCCGCAGAGCCCGAGCCGATGCCCTTCTGGAAGTCCGCACTCTACTGTGCTTTACCCGCTTCTTTCGATATGATTGGCACTACTGTTGGGTACATCGGACTGTTATATAACTCCCCTTCGGTTTTCATGATGCTCAGAGGTTCCATCATCGTCTTCTCTGCCATCCTTTCCGTAGTCTTCCTTCATCGAAAACTCAACGGTCAGAATTGGTTTGGTGTTATTGTGTGCGCTGCTGCTGTTACTCTGATTGGCGTATCAAATCTGTGCGCCCAAGATGCAAAAGAGGTTGCCGATGAACCAGAAGTGACTTCGGTCGGGCTCATGGCTTTTGGTATGCTGATGATCCTCCTTTCGCAGTTCATCCAAGCATTGCAAGTTGTTACCGAGGAGAAGTTCATGAAGGATATGACCATCGACCCCTATTGTGTTGTCGGCATGGAAGGTGTATGGGGTACCATTTACATGGTCTGCATCGTTTTACCAATACTCTACGCCATCCCTGGTGATGACGCTGGTTCCTCAGAGAACACTTTGGACTCGTTGATGCTGTTCGAGCACTCTAAAAAGATGCAAACTTTCTTGGCGGTCTACGTTGTGTCTATTTTCTTCACCAATTGTGCCGCTGTCATTGTCACCAAGATCCTTAGTGCTATCCATGTGACCATGTTCAATGCCATGCAGCCCGCTATTGTGTGGTTCATTGGTCTTTTCACTTACTATCTAGTTACCCCTGCCGCATCTTTTGCTGAGCAGTGGACAGCGTGGTCATGGTTGCAACTTGGTGGCTTCCTATTCCTAGTCTACGGCCAACTGGTCTACGCCGACATTCTTCACGTGCCCGGTTTCAAGCGCCCTATTGTCCAGCAGGCAATGCCGTTCGCGACTCCCACGTCGGTCACTGCTCTGGTCCCCAGTGTCGGTGCCACAAGGAAGAACGCGTGAATGATTGTTAAGAATTATCGTCATTATAAGATTGTTTGTTGTTTATACCGCTCCCTTTGCTGTGCTTTTGATGAAGGAGACCATAGAGTGCTCTCCCTACTGGTTATTGGTAATTACATTTTCCACTTATGTTGTTAATTCAGTATAACATAATATTAAGGAGCTCCTTGAGAAGTTTCTATATTCAGGGAACAGCTGAGGTGCAGCTACAGTAGCAATTCCTGTGCGAAATTCACGGGGTTTGCTCTCCAGATGATTCAATGCATGTGAAAATTTGGCACTGGTTTGGTGTCTATATCAACGTCAGATGATTCTGTTTATCGCCGTCTGCAGCTCTTCTCGATATTACTTAGTCTCGTGAGATGTCGTACTGTAATTATGAGTGTGATTGCCTTCATGACCAACGATTATGTGTACACGCATCTACTAGCGGATGAACCGATTTACATCAGTTGGGATTGTATACGCCTCGAAAATGACTCCACGTTACGCTGTGCAAACTTGAAACACGAAAAAGATATCCATGAAGGGAAGTTCGTCTTGAGTAGATCCATCTAAATATACGGTATTGGAGAAGTGAAATCTAGTAAGTTCATCAAGTTGATCAACGTCGTTGCATTTGTGGTAATCGTGGAGAGTGAGGGTGGTCGTACGATATTTCCCTCGAGGTCAACCACGTTTGATAGACTACATACTGTTGTAACAGACGAAGGATCAGAAAAGCAGACGGCAGGTTCGATCCCCAGCTGCGGCAAATTCAATGATTACATATATTGGATTTGCTTTCTCAGGAAAAGCTACGTGCGCACGTGAGTATCGATCACGTTATCGTTATCTTGAGCACTATTCAATTATCTTTCGCAATCCCTTGTCATATAGCAGCATAGACTATGCTGTAGACACTCTTCACGATATATTTGGGAAACAAAATATATGATCACCATCTCTTGAACAATATGTAACGAGTTTCCTTGGCAAACTAAGGAGACACCAAAATTCATATCCATACCGGCGGCATAATGCCGCGGCGTTGGAGGGGGCATGATGATCATGAATATGAACTCAAATTTCCCATCCTGTTAGATTATGGCACAATCAAACAGGAAACGACATATATTTCTTTTCTATCTTCAACTCCTCACAGGATGGGGGAGACCATACGCCTGAAGGAGTTGAATGACTTGATTCTTAAACTGATCGCTGCTCTTAGAACATTGGGCTGCGGCGGAGCGATTATGGTTTTCTTTACGCTCATTAGTATGATCATGCAAAAAGAGTATAACCCCCCTTTTCAGAGCTGGGGGAAGGTGGGCGAAGCAACAACAATCTCCCTTTCCGAGGGTGCCACAAGGTTATCAACAACCGTTATGAGCAATACGATTACGTTCAACCCTACACTCGTGTTGCTATCTTCCTAGGAGAGAGGGACGGGGAGACCTCTGGCGCCCTATGTCAAAGGTCTCCCGTACTGGCACCTCCAGTACCCCCTAGGAAGGTAGTTATATCCGTTGTGAGGGAGGGTGGGTGGGTGTCGATTTGTTTCGACTCGCTGCCCGGCTCCCTCTTCCCTCCTATAGCTATCCTCCCCCCTTCCTGCACTTTGCACAACATCTCCGTTCGGTTTGAACTAGCTCAACTAGCAATCGATTCAAAGACGAATCGCTGATGCCTCGGATCACACACCCCATCCTTAGATCGCTGTCTGCGTGCCACATCAGAAAAAAAGCGGAGCGATGCGCCGCGCTAAGATCACGATCCCTAATCGTAATCCCGGGGTAAGCTGAGCCCGGCCAACCTTGCGCTCCTACGGCTATTTACTCAAAGACCATATGTACGATCCTTAGCCTCTTTTCCTTGCGGAATTCTAACGCCCCTCCGCCTCCTAAAAATGAGGAAGCGATCTTTCGTTGAAGATCTTGCGCTCCTTCTATGAGGAAGGTTTCTCAAGTCATAGAGTCACTGAGCTGAATGAGCCCATTGAAAATGTATGCGGAGAAGTAGAGGACAACCTCCTTTATGCTTCTTTTTTCGCTGTCCTTTCATCATGATGGGGAATTTAGATGCTCCGATGATAACGTGTTTTCCCTAGGTTTTCCTCCATGTTCGACGTCACGACTGCTATTTGGATTTTTTTCATCTTGGGCTGCGGTCCTCTGCTAGCAATTATCAGCAAGATCGTGTTAGAAATTCGATCGATCGGTGTAGAAGGCTTCCCCAAGCCTTTCCACAAGCCATGGTTCATCACGACGGTCATGTTCCTCGGTATGGCTCCTGGTATAATCGTTTATATCGCAAAGATGATTCGCAATAAGACCAGACGGCATCATCAGAATCGTCAGCCGTTGCTTCAAGTGAAGGCCGCCCCAGAGACCGAGCCGATGCCCTTCTGGAAGTCCGCACTTTACTGTGCTTTACCCGCTTCTTTCGATATGATTGGCACTACTGTTGGGTACATCGGACTGTTATATAACTCCCCTTCGGTTTTCATGATGCTCAGAGGTTCCATCATCGTCTTTTCTGCCATCCTTTCCGTAGTTTTCCTTCATCGAAAACTCAATGGTCAGAACTGGTTTGGTGTTATTGTGTGCGCTGCTGCTGTTACTCTGATTGGCGTATCAAATCTGTGCGCCCAAGATGCAAAAGAGGTCGCCGATGAACCAGAAGTGACTTCGGTCGGGCTTATGGCTTTTGGTATGCTGATGATCCTCCTTTCGCAGTTCATCCAGGCATTGCAAGTTGTTACCGAGGAGAAGTTCATGAAGGATATGACCATCGACCCCTATTGTGTTGTCGGCATGGAAGGTGTATGGGGTACCATTTACATGGTCTGCATCGTTTTACCAATACTCTACGCCATTCCTGGTGATGACGCTGGTTCCTCAGAGAACACCTTGGACTCGTTGATGCTGTTCGAGCACTCTAAAAAGATGCAAACTTTCTTAGTGGTCTACGTCGTGTTCATTTTCTTCGGCAATTGTGCCGCTGTCATTGTCACCAAGATCCTTAGTGCTATCCATGTTACCATGTTCAATGCCATGCAGCCCGCTATTGTGTGGTTCATTGGCCTTTTCACTTACTATCTAGTTACCCCTGCCGCATCTTTTGCTGAGCAGTGGACAGCGTGGTCATGGTTGCAACTTGGTGGCTTCCTATTCCTCGTCTACGGCCAACTGGTCTACGCCGACATTCTTCACGTCCCCGGTTTCAAGCGCCCTATTGTCCAGCAGGCAATGCCGTTCGCGACTCCCACATCGGTCACTGCTCTGGTCCCCAGTGTTGGTGTCGCGAGAAAGAACGCGTGAACGGTTGTTATAATTCTTTACTTGAGAATTATCGTTATTATAAGATTATTTGCTGTTTATACCGCTCCTTTTGCTGTGCTTTGATGAGGAAGGCCATAGAGTGTTTTTCCTAATTTTTACTGGTAATTACATTCCCTCCGCTCGTGTTGTCAATTTAACACTGATTCGTAACTCATAGAGAGCCGTGTGAGATCTTAAATCAACAGAGGAATCGAGAGCTCGGTTGATGTGACATACATACGCCAGATATGATTACATCGTTTGGGATCTTTGCAGTGCGCGAAGA